ATGAAAGCCGGTATGAAACGTGTCTTTTTCTCTTTCCCAGTCCCTACTATAACAACAACAACTACTACTACTATAATACTACTACTACTACTATTATTACTACTACTACTATTACCACTACTATTCCTATACTACTCCAACTATACTCTTACTACTACTGCAGCCACTACTGCTATTACTATACGGCGTGCGAGTAAATATACAGGGTTGACTAACGTGTATAACCGTTTTCCAGGGTTGGCTGAATATAAACGGAAAAACGTGAAGGTGACATTGTATACAGTGCATCATCTTGGTTGTATTCACTCTTATATAACAAACTACTCATCCTCTACCCATTCACGGCTCAAGGTGCATACATCATTATGGTCCTATAGTCTGAAAACATCACTCTGTGGCATGCCGCTAATGAATGGTTTAGGCGATTCGTCCGAGATCAGAGACTTGAAAAGCCCGTGTGTACACGTGTATACACGTACGTACATTTTATACCTACTTATAGAAATATGTATATATATATATATATATATATTATATATAGAGCATTGGTATATTCCTTTTTTTTCTACAGCATTGATTTACAAATTTGGATTGCGTTCTTAATTTAAATTACATAAATCTAGTGGTTACGAAAATAAAGCGAATAAAAATGGTATGGATTTATTTCATTAAAAGATTAGTTAAAAAAAATTATCTAMCAAAATGTAACTTTTAATTTAATCTGTTTTAACATAATAAGATGCTTATTTTTCACTTGATGATAATTCGAAAATTCGTTGTATATTATATTTTTAATGCATGTGTTAACAAAATTAAATGTATATTTTACTATTTTTCACTTCATTATAGCCCATATAACAAATATTTTTAAACCAAATATTGTAATACCGTAGGAAATCAACTGTAAAAAATTCCACGAGTATAATGAATATGCCTCACATATAGAATTTCATTTGCGTTAGGTATTATTGTTAATTTAATAATAATGAATTAATGTGAATCAAAGGATAAATGATAATGGTAGGTATACACAATCGTTTTCAAAAACAACACCCAATTGTTTCTAGTAAGGTCTAAACAATATTTTCATTAAGCCTATGTACCGTTACAAGATTGTTCCACTTGACCCGGTACATAAACTTGATGTTATTTTCTACTAAATTCAAGTCGAATTAACTGTATTGAATACGACAAAAAGAAAAATGTTCAAGAACCATCAATTTTAATGGATAGTTTCCGGTACTCGGTAGCTTGTCATATTATTCGCTATATATTATAARAATATAAGGGATCTACTATAATAAGAAACCGTCAAAAACACATGTTTAAGGGTTTATACTAAAATAACACATAATAGCTTTTTCCGTGGCAGCTTTTACTTTGAGTTTTCTAATTGTAATAACTTATCGATGATGAATTAATTTTAAAATTACATTGTACATGGAGTCTTAATTTGAGTAGATAAAGTATATATTTCAAAATATTACGACTTACGAGTAAATAGGAGAAATMGTAAATATAGATTTTATTTAGTTTAATATACAAATGCATGATAATATGACATTTTCTTTAGACCAAGTATAGTCTGATAAGATATTATATATAATAAGAATACATTTAATACAAAATACAAATCAGTCACGGCCTTCACAATTTCTTTGAGCAGTATTCCAATTTGATGTATAATTMAATTATTTTCTTCTACATATAATATCTATTATTAGTCATAAATCATATAAAATATATTACATATTTCTAAATTCAACTCTTTCCAACTGTCTAGATTACAACAGTTAATAKAATTATAAAATTATAAAAATTTCATTTTATATAGTTCAATCAGTAATTATCAGTTTTTTTAAATTCGACWGTTTATAAAAGTATAAAATAGACTATATTTCAATCACATAATTTATACATCTGAATTCATGGAGGATTGAAAACAGAAATACCATTAAAAAAAATAATATAAAATACTATTTCTATATAAGTCTAGTTATATTATAGTTTGATACCCATTATCTATACAATCTTAGTTGTTTGAAATGAAAATTGAAGGAACATTTTCAGCTTAAATTACATGTGTTAACGTTTTATTTAACACAAAATGCATGTTATGTAGGTACGCCAAATAGGTACCATGATATCATTACCCTTTATAAAATAAAGTAAAACGAACGTAGTAAGTTTAAGTGAAATAAACTGCTTAAATCATTAAATCATYCCATTTGAACAAATCTTATATAACTACTGTTTAGACAAACTTATACGATGGGTGCAGGTACTACAGTATATGGACAAGAACAGCATACCACTTGAGCGACAGTATATTTCCTTCCCATTTTAACAAAATTACTACTATCGGTATTGGAATACATTAAAAAAAGTTTATTAGTTTCGCTATACTAAATATTGAAGATAACGAAACAATATTTTGCAATATCATACATTTTATATCCATTATTAATTTAAATCAAAATAACTAAAATAAAATAAAACACAATACCTACCTAATTATTTTGTATATAACTTCTTTTCCACAGTTAACTTATTGTGACCCGTACGAAATAATTATTTAACATAGGTAGTATAGTTTTAGTATGCTAAAAATTATTTTTGTGAATTTTTCATACTCTACTACTGAATAATAGTATATTTTAGTAATTATCATACAATCACAAAAATAATGTCAAAAAATATTTTTTATTTGTATAATACATAAAAACTACAAATTAATTAATTTGTAATAATTKATATATTTCAATAAAAGAAAAAGAGAAAAAGTATAGATACCCATGTCCTATACCAAATAAAACAATGATAATTATTTGGAAAAAAATTACGCAGGGTGCAAAACTATTTGGCTTTATATTTACCACATGCAAACGCACGCACTAACGAGCCTAAACAAGTTACCTAAAAGTTGAGTATATTAATCTATAATACATGACACAGTATAATGATAACCGACATACCGTTAACTATAGGTATATATGCGTCAGCTGTGGTCTATGAGTATTCGAACGCGGAACGAATTTGCGACATTATAAACTTGCTCCCGACACCACAGGTGTGTTAGCGGAGATAAGTGTCCAGCAAGCTTCCGCTCCGTTGTCCGGCGACAACTTAAATTGTAATATATATATGTTTGTATTACGTCTTATTAGACGAACATTGTAAATTTGTAACACATTATTATTAACGTTAATTGTTTAGCACATTTGTATCTCGTATTTATATTATATGCGAATTATTATAATTATTCCCGGGACACCTTCTATTAAACTACCTTTGTAATTTTTATATTTATTTATTACTTTATCATTTGTATTAAAATACCGTTTTTTGGTGTAACATACACTCGTATTGTAATAAGACGTGCTAGTATATTATATATATATATTTGGGTAACCCACTTCGTTCCAATCTTCAACATATAGTACGCAAGTTGTTACCGATAACCGTCAACTATCGTAATAGGATCGGTAACGGCGCAAACAATGATACAAATTCGGTAACCGTGGTCCACATTGTAAACTGCATAATCGCGGATGGTTAACCATGATATTTCCCGACGACAGTATAGGTTTCACTGTTCTAACAAGACACGATTGCCACCGACCGTTTTCTCTAAGTGGCCATGCMACTATTGCCACAATATGATGGTATTCGATAAAACCGTTTTCGCGTCGTCGACCACGATTGTCCAACGGAAAAATCAAGGAAGTATATTTAAAAAACTCATAATTTCCGACCCGATGAAATGTGTCACTTGTTTTCCAAGGATTAGTCAAAGGCGCGGAGCCACGTCAGGTTGAAATACACACATGATCAAGTCGACTAACTTTATATTATTCACATGTTGATTCTAAGGATAAACAGTTATTCAAATATAATATTTACAATCATTATTATTGGCGTTTTATTTGTATTAATTGTATTTGCGTATTAAACCTAAATTGTATGTGTATAATCCAAGCAAAACCTTGGTAAAACATTCGCGTAAAGGTTTSTATTAAGTATTACTAGTTTAGCGAATTATCAGTTATTGTCAAACTATGAGTCTTTTGAAATCAAAAAAACAGTTTCATACATTTATTTTTAAAACTCACTTACGAGTGATGATAGACGGGGTACTTACTTCCACAAGGAAACCTAAGGATTTTTAAAACTTAACAATCATAATCATAATTTTTTTTTACTTTTAAAGAAATTCGTTTTCCCTTAGTTTTTGTTTTTATGGGCTCCATCATTCAGGTTAGTTAGTTATCTGGTTTGATTTACATTCAGCTATATATTTATATAAAACCCACTGAGTTTATTTTTAATAGGGTGCAGAAAATATGCCATCTTGATTATCTTTAGTTCAAGCAACAAAAAAAAATAATTTAAAATACTTTTTTCATTTAAGTTTGAAATAAAGCGCAATAAACTTTTCAAAAGAATATGGTTATTATTAGTACCTCAGTTATTGTAATACATATATCAGGTAAATTTATGAGTTAGTTTATTAGTTGAAAAATGTAAAAGTGTGTCAGTTATTCTGCACCATAGATGATGTTATAGTAGAAATCATGAAAATATGTATTTTGGCAACGAATCGGACACATTGTATTAGAAAAATAAATACTTAATGATGTTAAAAATTCTTTATTATATCAATAAGTTAGATGACCTTGTATGTCAGAAACACTTTAATTTAAAAAAAAAAATAAATAAATAACAAGTTGTTTAAACAACGACGACGACACGCGAATGGGGTAGTTCGCGTGTACCTATTATGTAAATCAACACTTGCGGGGGGACTATACGTATACCTACTATTAAGATAACATTATAATATTATACTCAATATTCATAATATACGTAAACTACGGTGATCGCTATTACCACGTGTTTATTACGAAAACGTGTCGAAACGCGTTTGTGGTCAACACATAATAATATATAATATTTCGAAACATTATCGCGTAATCAGATACTGAGCACGTTGCACTTACCGATGACCAGCCGATGACCGTTCTTGACATTGAGTATTCGTTGCACCTCTCCGGCCTCGCTACCGGACTCGCTGCCKGACTGTTGGTAGTGCTGGTGCAGCGGAGACGGCGACGGCGGTGGCCACCACCGGTTTGTTTGCGGCTGCTGCTGCTGGTGCGGTCGCTGTTGACCGCCTCGCTGCTGTAGCGTGCCGTAAATGGCTGACGTGGACGGGCTACGTTTGGGCACGAGCGGTAGTGGCCTTTCCGCGGCCATCGACGAATCGGTCGTCCGTTGGCGGGTAGGTGGTTGCGGAGATAGGCCTTTCTTGGTCGGCCAGTACGCGGGCGGTTCGGACGGCCCCGGTGAAAAACTCACCCTCTTCGGGCTGCAGCCGGATGACGACGACGGTGACAGTGTCTGTCCGGCAGCAGTTGCTGACGGGTCAGCTACGGGCTCTTGCAGGGTGCCCCTCTTGAAAATCGGCTGAAACCTCTTCTCACCAGCCGCAACGACATCCTCTTCAGTCTCGTAAATGGTAGACTGTCGGCCSGGCGATTCCCGGACGCACCCGATGGTGGCACGGTGCGGGGACCCCCGTACAAAAGAGCCAGTGGCGCCRGCCTCTACGTTGCCGTAGATGGCCTGTTGTTGATTCTGTTTCTGTTGCTGCTGGTGCTGTTGTTGTTGTAGTTGTTGTTGTTGTTTTTGTTGTTGTTGTTGTTGTTGTTGTTGTTGTTGATGTTGTTGTTGATGTTGTTGCAGTCGATGTTGGCGGACAGCGGCCGCGTATACCGCGGTGTTTGACAACGGCGGTGCGGTGATCTTGACTTGCGCGCCGACCGGCATGAGCAACATCCTTTGCTGCTGCTGACCACCACCTCCGTTTCTGTTGTTATAATACTGCGAGTACGGTATAATGGGAGCGGACCGTCTGCCCGACGGCGATGGTAACAGCGACGACGTCGACGACGATGACAACAGCGAACAAGGGCTGCCCATTCGACGTTCGACGCTGCCATAATTGGCGTTAACGTCCCGGTCGAACGATCCGGGACTGACGCTCCGCGACCGGAAGTCGGTCACATCGACGGCGTTCCGGTCAACCCCTTGCGCGTATCGAAACCGCTGCAGTTGCTGCTGTTGTTGTTGTTGTTGTTGTTGTTGCAACCGGTACGTCACGTTTCCGGTAGAGTTGCCGTTGCCGTTGTTATTGACGAATGCCGTCTCGATAATGGTCTTGTGGTTGTTGGTGCTGGGCGGTCTGTTGTTGGTGGGTTGACGGAGTTGGTGATTGTGGACAGCGGACCCGTTAGCGACGTCCACGGCCGCTACCGCGGTCTGCTTGTTCTTATGATCGCCGCCCGTGAATATGGCGGGCGTCAACAGCCGCCGTATGCCTTTTTTTTTGGCACTGTGGTCGCCGTCCGACGATTCCGCCAACGGAGTAGTAGTCGCCGCTACCGTAGGACCCATTATTGTTGTTTCAGAAGTTCGTGGGACTGTACGAAGTTTCAACAATAAATTATTTATTATGCTCTATATCGGATGATAACTTCGYGGGAAACCTCGCCCACCTGAAAACCATAAAATTTTACATCTGATTAGCAAATGTTCTCAAAAATAAAACAAAAATAGTGATATTAATTAATTAACAGTTGACGATTTTTTTAGTATAGGTACATATATGCATTGGTTCTAATATCACGGTATCCAATTTGAATTGCATTTTGCATTTCAATATTATGGTATGTCTTGGTTTAAATCGGTATTATGATAAACCGTTCCATACCAGTACTGATATATTATATTCCAATACCACAATACTGATATCCGTTTTCAACCCTAAATAATAATAATGAATAGAAATAATGAAGAGTGTGCGTTACACGTGTTTTGGTATTGTTTGTAAAAGACGTTACTAATGATGATATTCTATTATCGGATAAACGAGATATTAATATTTTATAAATTACGAGTGTGACCTATACGTTAATGCACTGCAGGGAGCTCAGTGCAATGAACATTTACCGTCTGTCTTGGAAAAAAAACTCATTTTGCAGACACCATAATATAAATGTGTACATGTCATGCAATAGGTTAGAATAATAGAATATCTAAAAAGAGTTTTCGTCTTAACATAAAATATCGTTCGTAATACTATACTGGTATATGTTCGATCTACACATATTATATACTATATTGTGCAGGACAACGTATGGTTTTTAATTGACATCACGGAGTATAGAGTGGTAGGTCGTGAATCAAATTTCTGAAATTTTTCGACACTGTTGAAAAGATCGAGTGCGTACTCTACAAAGAACGCGCAGAAAATAACTGATCGATAACTAAGTATAAACAGCTTCAACAAGTACTACACACTTTTATGGAAGGGATATATGAATATGACTACTAAATGATGAAACCCTGTATATACTGTTTAATAGACAAAAATAGTTTAGAATAGAATCATCGTTAAAACAAAAGACGTTGTATTGTATGACAAAATGTTTCAAATTAAAATTCAATAACAATCATACAAATATATTTTGTTTGTGTTCCTACCTCTATTTAATACAATGTCATGAAACTAATTCTAGTTCAGATATGTCTCGATCACAAAATCTAATGATATCATATTATATACTACAAAGAAACATCAAAAATAATTAATATAATAAAGTTATAGGTAAAGACGAAGAAGTAGAAGAAAGATAAAAAGTGTTTAATTTAATTTAGTTTAATCAACAAAATAAATAGAAAAATAATTAATAAACCAGAAAACAAATAACTAATAAATTTATCATTTATATTATAAAAGTATTTTTATCAAGTATTTTTTCGTTAAATCTGCAATGTTTAAAAACGTATAAAATTGAATTCATTTTTTATTTAAAATATCACATCTATTTAGAAACATACTTTCCACGCAATAAGCACATATAGATTAGATTAACTAAAATCCAAAATGGTTTACCTTACTATTCAAATACAAGCTTAATTCCTTTTTTATATTTGTACTATAGTTAACATATTTGTCAGGAATAAGAAAAAGACATTTTAATTGSTCATGTTAAAAAAACATTATAACGAGACTAAATGGGCGTTCATGATGACACTTAAAATTAATTACCTAATTAATATTAACATCAGTACGTATATTCAACAATCCCATGTCTAGAACAAATAACAGGGCGTAGACAAATATGTTTTTAATAATAAATAAGGTTGATTATAATAAATCCACATGATTTAATGTTATAAATGAATTGAAAAATAAATTTTTACAATAAACCCCATTTAATATAATAATATTAAAAGGAATGAACAAATTACATTCTTAATAGAACACCAATTGACCAATAGGTGCTTAATTTAATAGTTTCCTTTAATAATAAATTGTATTCATCAGAATATTCTCGATAGTATTACTATTAAACGACTATGTGTAGGAGATATATATGAACAATTTTATGATATAGTCGACATAATATATTTCTGGAACCATACCTCAAAAGGTTACTAAGTACTAACTACATATAATACTTCTAAATTATAATAGACTATCCTTTACAATATCATATCAATGATAAAAAGAAAAATTCTAACTCAACAATTGAATTTAATACAATACTATGTTAGTTAATTATTGAAAATACTTTTAACTGGATTTTCCAAATTATTTAATTATTTTACAACACTTAATGTCTATTTTCTATTAAACATATTACTTGTTACAATGTTATCCTAGAAATGTTTATTAAAATTACCTATCGTCTATTGTTTGAATAAAATATATTTTCTAACRTCATCTATTWCACGACGTAAATTTAGATGGGYAATTATAAATTATTTAAATGAAATTATAATTTAATATTTATTAGTTATTAGTGTTATTACATTTTACTAACGAAGTAACGAATATAACAAAGTTGATGCATATACCTTCCTACTCACAAATTCACTATTTGCGAATTAAGTCCATGTAYAACTAATCAGATATCTTAGATATTTATTATTTACTTACTGAAGAATGTGAAAGTAAAAAAGAATAAAAATGTATAAATGATCTTAAAATAATTATTAATCTATCGGTCCTAAACCAATACTTGTCTCGGACAACTATTCATTATTCATTCTTTAATTTACTTTACACTATATAGCTACACTACGTAAAGATACTTATGACTTTTCTATAAAAATTATCCTTGATACAAAATTTTAAATATTTCAATTGAAATTGTGYTCAATACAACATGATTAAATGACCTAACATAAATATAGTCTATTATAATATCTTGGAAAAACTAAAAACTTGAATATTTTTAATAGTATTTTTAATAAAAGTAACGAGCAGTGTCACAGTGTCACTAACCTATGTATAAACTTGCAATTTTTATAAAAACGTCAGTACTTATATTTATAAAATAAAATAAAATGTTCACATCTTATGAAAACATAAACTACACAAAAAAAAAAATTATTAAAAAAATATTAAAATTATAAACCAACATATTTCAACATATATTTTTTTAATGTACCATGAACGTAAATTAACTGACAAATCCATATGCAAAATATTAAGAACCATTATTGATCTATTTTACAGGATAACAGTCTTAAATATTTTATAAAAACCACTTTTATTTTTTCTCAATTTTTTTTATGAACATATAAATAATTAGTTCATGACTAAAAGATATCAAAACACTAAGACAGGACTCAGATTATTTTATTCATAAAAATCAAAAATCAAAAATAAATTTATTTTAATTTTCTTAAAATAGTATTAAACATTCCTATATTACTAAATTAATATGAGTAATRCGTTTTGAACTCTAAATACAAAAAAGATTTCAGTGATGAAAAAATATTGTTTCCACAATAAATTTGCATTAAGTATCGGGTCCATTCTGTAAATAAATTGTTTTAATTCCAAACACTGGATCAAACACTAATCCAATACCAAATTTCGAATACTACAGCAGAATTACAGAATATCTATATTATAATTATCTTGAGCTTGGAAAAGCGTGCACTACTATACAAAACCATATATTGCGAGTTTTCTAAATGAATCACAATGTTTCCAAAAAAATAGGTGACTACAGATTTCTGTCATCATGTGACTAGACTTCCCGTTAATTTAATTGAAACATCCTAAACAAGGTTAGTAGTTTATGTGTATTCAGAAAACGAATCTAAGGAAATTGCAAAAAAAATCAAAATGACCTTTTATTATTAGTCCATTGTTATGTATCTGAACAATACCGCATAATTGGGAAAGTTTGMGTTTTAACATATATAYTATATTGATTGTTGTTATTGACATCGATTATATTCGAATATGATTTTACAGGTTTTAACAACAATAATAAAAAGCATGATTCTCTGTAAAAATATTGCCTTATAATTTATATA